TTAAAAGTGTGTCTCCACAAGGCTGGAAACTGGCATCCTGATATAACTGACTTATTTCCACAATGGGAAACTCACATGCCCCTAACACACTGACAGAAACAGAGCTATCTTTGTGAGGTCATATACTAACATAATTTCCTAGAATCTTACTTTACCTTAATCAGTGCAACTAAATGCCACAGTCTACCCAAGCAGCTACCCCATTAATCTGACCTAAACTCAAACCTGAACCCTTCAGCAGTGGGACCTATTATTCCAAAATGTTATACTTTTTTAGCTTTTTATGATTTGCTATTCAAAATAATCCTTACTTACCTTTTACTGGGCACAGATACAGCCCAGCAGTTCATTCACAAGCCTTATACACACAGCCACACACTGACACACATGCACACACACTCTCTCACACACTCAGAAGCACCAGCTTTTTCCAGGATTCTCAGGGATCTGTGAGGGTCAAAGTATTCCATCCAATCATTCTGGCATTTTCCACAAAACTCTTCCAAACCCCAAAACAAGCGGTATTAAGAGCTTTCTCCCATGGCAGCCATGGTTACTGCTTTGAGTTGCCAGTCGGAATAAGACACTGTTTTCAGTCACTCAGCAACGACGACTGAGGTGCCCTTTAGCAAGACACTCAATCTTTAAATATCTCAAGTGGAGTTGTTCTGTTAGCTCTGTTGTTGGGAATCTTTTGTGTTTACAAAAGATACTAGGAAAGCAACAATGGCAGTTGACAACAGATTTGTTCACACTTTGTTACTGAATCTCAAAGTTCCATTCAGACATATTACTTGCATTTTAAATGGAACTGACTACTTGGATTTGGACAAGTCTATCACTATGTTATGGTAATTTAACAGCGGAAATCCCAAATCTTCCCAAATCTGGATCATCACCAAAACATATTCAGTATTCCTTGTTCCAAGCCTTGCAGGCAGGCAGCTGGATGAAGTCATAATGTCTCTGGCACGACTAAATAAATGACTCAGTATTTTAAGAGGGGGCTTTACCAGTTTGACTTCAAGCTCAGACCCCTCCAATTTATAACAAAAAGCTTGCAACGTAAACTGGGGGTGCAGAGATCGACAGTTTTACCAAGTGTGAATGGTTTTACAGTATAAACTACTGTGTTGAGTCATACTTTTTTATGGAAAAGGAACTAATTGCTTTGGGCTCGACCTATATTAGGAAGTATGGATGTATTGATTTTGACCTGTTTCTTATGAGTTCCCAAACTTGATAGATACACAAAATTAAATCACTCGTCACTACTCTTATAAACAAAGATGTCACAAACTGAGTCAAATCAATTCATTACTCTTGCTGGTTCCACGGAAAGCATCTAGCAGCTAAAAGGGACTGGATTTTACAAAACCGTCAGTGCAGGCAGACAGTCCAAACAAGGTAAGAGGGGAAAGCTAACCATCATCTCAATGTCTATTCTGAACAAGGAGGAATGCTGAATGTTCTGGAACAGGAAGTGGACTTAGATCCACTTCCTGAGTTTTGGTGTTCCTTCATGGAAAACACAACCTCGTGGGTGGCTGTAGCTCTGGAGGTAGAGCAGATCATTTGCTAACTGGAAGGTTCATAGTTTAAACCCCGGCTGCTGCAGTCTGCCTGCCAAATATCCTTAGGCAAAAAACTAACCCCAAATTGCTCTCAGATCCACCCATCGGAGTTTAGATGTGTGTGAATGTTAACTAGAAAGCACTTAAGCATAGAATGAAGTGCTTGCATGAATGGGTGAATGAGGTAAAGTTGTACAAAGCGAGTTCTTTGAGTACTAAGGTAGAGTAGAAAAGTGCTTTACTGTATAAGAACCAGTCATTGACAGGTATTATTTCCATGTATAGCATCTACCCCTGTTTTTTTTCCCTCCTAACCACACTGTGGTGGAGAAGTACGTATTTCTGAAAAGGTGAAAACATTTCGTGACAAAATTGGGTTTCAGCTGAAGTTTTTATTAGGTGGACCAAACTGAGAACAAACCCCCATAACCTGTTTTTTTGTTTTTGGTCTTTTTCCTCATGCATTGGTACAGCTCCAGCTCCAGCTCCCAGCCAATCACGGCTGATGACCATCCTTCTATGAGCCTGTTTCTGAAAGGGAATTGGAGGAGTTCTTCCTTCCTACCATCACCAAGTGTTATTTAGATCACATGATCACTGAGGCTCTCTCTGTATTCTCTCTAGATCTTTACTCTTGAAGGTACTTTGTCACAAGTGCTGTTGTGAACTGGGGCTTTGCAAATAAAACTAAATAGAAAGTAACTCTAGGTCTATGACATGTAGCTTAGCCACTTAACCACCACAACCACTGGCTGTGTGGTGTAACCAGATGGGCAGCTATGGTGGGATAGATGTACAGTCACCTCTTGTGGTCACCCCTTGGCTAGTCAGGCTGACTGAAGTTTCCTATTCCATCATTAATTTATCATCTTGCTGTGAGGTGACAGTAATAACCTCTGTACTGTGCCTACTTATGTTATCCAAATGAATAGAAATTTTCAATATATGAAATATATGAGCTAAAATACTAGAATGGAGCTGCACATCCTGTTGACAAATCTCTGTAGGTTCATCATTAGCACTGAGTTCTTCACATTGTAATTAGACATGAAAAGTGGATCTTCATCCAAAGCATGTTATTTTTACTCAAAAGGATGACTATTAACACTAAAATTATAAAATGATGGACCCTTTGCAGATGTGTCACCAAGCCACTAAGTTCCTTTACAATTCAGTTTGGTAGTTTTTGTGTTGTCTTGCTGGCAGACAAAAAAATGAACAGATAAACAGATGGCTCTGTAAACAGAGCTTCACCACAACATTTGGCCTGGCAAAGGAACCCAAAAAGGGAGCCTTTTTAGGCACAAGTGTGTGGTCTTTACAGTATTTTGGCAGGTGGAACAGGCTGCTCAGTCACAGGCGTGACTTATGTTGCACTAAACACACTGAAACACATTACATGACAATCACAAGAGACTTGTGTAAGGTCTATCTGCCCATCCATCCATAAAGCTGTAAGTGCAGAGATGGCACAGCACTTCTGCCTGAGTAGCTGCTCAGCGTCACCATAGCAACAACATCACCTCTCTGCTCGCCTGCAGAGCTTCCTTAGATACTCTACATAGCTTAAATCAGTCGATTTTTATTTCAGCAACTGATTTATTAAAAACACACAGGTTTACCCTCCATCATAAAATTAGGTGACACACATTTACATTCATTATTTTCATTAAAGCTTAAGTATAGTTTAGAAAAAAAAAAACAATATTTGAAGTGCATGACAAACAAATGAACCAAATCCACCATCAGGCTGGTGGACACTCTTGAAAACCAGAAGGAGCTGTTACAGTGTAACTGGTAATGACTCTTTCACATCACTGTTGAAGATATTTGGTCCAATCTTAAGATTTGTATCACTGCCAAATTTAACTGCTGGCTTGACGTTCTTTGTATAAATAATTTTATGCCAGACGTAACAGGGACTCAAACCTTCTAAAAGATCTCTCGTCAGTCCACAGAATATTTTCCCAAATGTCTTGAGAATCCTCAAAATGTTTTTTTGGCAATTGTGAGACGAGCCTTTGTGTTCTTTTTGGTAAGCAGTGGTTTTCACCTGGGAACTCTCCCAAGGATGTCATTTTTGCCCAGTCGCTTTTATATTGTTGAATCGTGAACTCTGACATTAACTGAGAGAAGTGAGGCCTGCAGGTCTGTAGATGTTTTTCTGGTTTCTTTTGCGACCACCTGGATGAGTCACTGATGTGCTCTTGGAGTAATTTTTGGTAGGCTAGCCACTCCTGGGAAGGCACACCACTGTTCCAAGTTTTCTCTATTTATGGGTGGCGGTTATGGATGGACATGGTGGTTTCACTGGAATCCAAAATCCATAGAAATGGCTTTATAACCCTTTCCAGACTAACAGATGCTTCTCAGATGTTGTTGCTTCTTTAGATGATGTCAATGAAAAAGAATAATTCTAAATCAAACAGAAAATACTGTCTGACCATGAAGCCAGAAAAGGCCACACCTTTCAAAACTATTTCCTTGGCAGTGACAAAGTGCAAGGCGAAATTATGGGGATGTTGAACATAATTTCACCAGAGACACTTGGTATGGCTCAGGTTTTAAAAAAGAAAAAAGTATGTTAAACAATGCCATGCTTTTGTTAGCTGGCCCTTATAAAACCTAAAACCCCAGTCTAAGATAACGGCCATCACTACAGCAGCTATCAGCTTTTCACTTCAGCCATTTTTGTTTCACGTGTCGTATGATTTTTCATATGTGCATATAGAATCGATGGGTGCTGCCTGTTTCAATCAGCTGTTATTAGATGATAAAATTGCGATAAAAAAAACTATTAAAAAAGCCCAAAATGTAACAGCAACATACAATACTGTTGCAAATAAGAGACTAATGCTGCAGAAAGCCATAAATCTGATGATTTATTACACACAGTGGTGAAACAAACATTTTAATTTGTTTTTTATTAGTTATTTTATGAGTGCGCTCTCACTGCTGACACTTATTTTTAATATGTTGGCTGGTTGCACATTACAGCTCTGACACATCATAGGGCTACCATGACATAGTCCTGTGAAGGAGATGATGTGTCAGTTTGTTGGTATATCAAAATGAAATTATTCATTCACTTATTGATTAAACAGGTATTCTTGGTATGCGTTTACTGTTCTACTGGCTTTATTCCCACTACTTTCATCAACATTTTCTGCACCACCAGCTGAATGAATGCACAGTACCCGAACCTTTGGGTCATTTGTATCTCTAAGTGCAGATTGATTTTTATTTAATTACAATTTTATTTTGGATTTAAACTAAACTAAGCTTTGATGTGTATTTTTATTGTCCTAGTGTGCTTTATTCTAATATTCTTCAAGCTATGTGTTCCTTAAGAAAACAGCAACATACTGTAAGTCCCGCTATAACTGCACGGACTGTGGAGATTACACTCCTCCCCCTTTCATCATCACCATAACACGGAAGCAGTACACAGACAGTAGGGGGGCAGGAAAAGCACGGACAGGCAGGCAGGTTAAACCAAGTAAAAATACGAACACATAGAGACATTAGGGAGGTGAAAAAAAGCGCAGGCAGGTAGACGGACAAACAGATACAGGTGCAAAGCGAGCATCATGGCGCTGATCCCCTCGCAGGTTCTCCGGGTCGCCATCCTGCTGTCTTATTTCTCCATCCTGTGCCACTACAAAGCCTTAGACATGCCGGCACACCAGACCTACGGAGGCAGCTGGAAGTTTCTCACCTTCATCGACCTGGTGAGATTTCACGTCTAATCTGATCTCAACCCTAAACACCCCGGTGAAGTTACCGCGCAGCTCGAGGCGATGCACGCGCTGGAGAGAGTGCGCGCGTGGCGCTGCGATCACATTTAAATTCCGCCTCCTTGCGCTCTTTGTTTGACTCGATGATTCGTCGGCAGTGGCAGAGGGAGGGGTAAATTACACGGAGTTTCACTTGTCTGCAGTCGCGTTTGAAGCTCGCAACGTGGTTAGGTGCTGAGGTGAACCGGAACAGGTGCGTTGTGGGGCAGAAAGCTCTCCCGTCATAAAGGCTTCCCCTTGCGGGAGCGCGCCGCGGGTGCACCGAACCTTGTGAAAGCTTGCAGTTGGGAAGTGTCAGAAAAATGATGACGAAGGACTGAGAGGCTCAGAAATGACAGGGATGTGGGATTTTTAGTGCTCGCTGATTGTTGGACAAGAAAAAAAATCGGTAATAAACTGTCAATCAATTTCTCAGTTATTTCTTATGTGTTTTAAAGAAGTTTGAAACAAGCTGCAGCCCAGAACATATCTGTACTAAGAAAGTGGGATTTACACTCAAGTCCATTTTAGACCATAGACTGTATATAAAAGATGGACATAGCCACTGGGATGCTTGCACTGTTGGGCTAGATCAGACTCTAATCACCTTCTCAAGAACACGTTCTGGAAAAAGACTTGCAGAATGAAATGATTTCTATAAAATAGACTTGATGTTTTATTCAGTGAAACTTGAAGCTATCTGCCAAAGTGCTTACCGAGGTCATGGCGCAAGGACACCGAGGGATGCTTTCACATAGACTTCCCATAATCTCGGAGTTGTTTCGCACAGCACTAGGGTCAACTCCTGGTGGCCTTTATAAAGTGCTGGTTAAGGCATTTCAGGTTGATGATGTTGATCATCGTGCACACTCACGCTAATAGCAAAAGGGAATAAAAATATGGTGGTGAAAATATGCACAAGTTATCTGTAGGTCCTGCTTGTGAACAAATTTTGCTTGTTTTAATTTATAAATTAGTTCTCCACTTTACAGACATCATACAAGACAGATGTAGTTTGGAGAAAGTGGCTTAAACCAGCAGAAGGTGTCTGTTGTTGTTGCACAAAGTCTTTTGGTTGCATAGAAGTCTACAGGAAAACGTTTAGATTTCTGTGTGACCCCAGTAAACAGTAATGATGTAACCTGGATTTAGATAGTAATCGTTGTGACCGGACTCAAAAGCCACAATATAAAGACTGATACCTTTTTCCACACCTCATCAGGTGTAGATCATCACACAGGATCAGGCCCAGACAAAACACAAAAACTCCTGTACAGTGTCTGAATAGAAGATAAGTGCCTGCAATCACCTGCAAAGCTCAATGCACAGAATTTTTTCAGTGCTCAGTGTCCCTGTTTTCTCAGTGACCAATCAAAATCAAGAAGAGGCTTGACCCAATGATATAAATTCTGTGTTAACAGCAAAGGAAATATGTTTAAGTGCTTGAGAGTGACCTCTCAGGGGCTAAAGACACATAATGTTAAAACTAGAGATGGTACGATACCACTTTTTTATGTCCCATACCGATATCATAAATTTGGATATCTGCCGACACCGATATGAATCTGATATAGTGTTTTTTAATCACTAAAAATGTTTTTTAATATCTTGCTGCTTTTTGTATAAGTTCATACTCAAGTTACGAAAAACAAACAAACACTAAAGCTATTCTGTTATACCTGTATGCAAAAAATATACTGCACCCAAAATATTTCATAGTTCAGCAATACTGATCAATCTAATAAAGTTAAACTTACTCCATCCTCCCGATTCTGGTATTTTAAAGAGTAAACAACCTAACCAATAGGGTTCTAAAACTCCCAGCAAAAAAAATAAATAAATAGGGAACCACCCCCCACCCTCCACCTCATGATGCTTAATCGACATAATCAACTTTAATTTGATGCAGTGTGGAAAAAAAATGCACAGAAATAAATTATTTTTCAAGAATAATTAAATAGATTCAACATCTTTCTTCAACAGAATTGCAGACTACACAGATGGTACCTTCCCAAAGGAAAAAGTACTATAGTTTACTAGGGTATATTAGACTTAACAGTTACTATATACAGTAATGGACTTCTATACATTTTTCATCAGATTAAAACTTTGGGTGTAAGATACAGATAATTATTTATTAAAAGCTAGACATTTTAAATGAGAATACGAAAGAAAAGTATGTCTTTGTGCCCCCTTTTCCCTGTTAATGCCTTATTGGCCCCCCTGGCTAAACTTTGCTAGATCCGCCCCTGCACAGTTACTAGGGGTGGGGGAAAAAATCGATACTGTGTAGTATCGTGATATTTTGTTTGCTAATAATGTATCGATACAGGGACAGCAGAAATCGATATTTTGTTACAAAAAAGGTTTTTGTGCTCTGACTTCAGAGCATGTTGATCCTTTTTCTGAGCAAGAATCCTGACATTCCTTCACTTTCCAAATGTGTTTAACTTGTTTTTTGGCAGCAATGAACATGACAGTTTACTTATTTTAATTTAAGACATGTTTTATTTTAATTAAGTTCAAAACTTTTTTATTTAATGTAAAATTATATTTTGTTTTAATTTACTTTCAAATTCTTCAGTTGCTGAATGGGCTGCATAGTTTTCATAAATTGCAAAGTTCAGAATAGCTATAATTATACCAGATGGTTGCATTCAGTTAAGTTGGACTAGACTGTAATACAAACCGTTCAGTTTGTCAACAATAAAACTGACTGAAATGAGAGAAAGACTGAGTGTGAGACTTTGTTATTAGATAAAATGAATATTGATAAAGTTTACCTTTATGTACAGAATCTGAATATCGCAAAATATTTTAAAAAATTGCAATAATATCGTATCGTGCGTTAAGTATCGTGATAATATCGTATCGTGGGATATATGGTGATTCCCACCTCTAACAGTTACCAGCCATCAGCTGCGTAGAAAAAGATCCTGGTTTTGAAAGTAATATTAAATAAATTCTAAAAACAGATAATCAAGCTTAAACGTGCTGCTGTTGTTCAGCCGCTGGTTTCCTCTTTCTGGTGGAAAGTGGGCCAAAAACAAAGAAGAGAGACGGACTTGCACAGAAAAGCTGATCAGCTGATCATTGATCAGTTTCATGGATATTTAATGGATCGGATTACATTTTTTATTTCTCTCCGATATCTGATCCAGTAATTTAAGTCAGTATCGGACGACCGATACCGATACGTAATATCGGATCGGTCCATCTCTAGTTAAAACAACACTGAAAGCCGATATTAGCAGAAGCTTGTGATTGACAAGGTGTGGACCAATGAGAGCGCAGTGTCTGTCAGTTTGAAAGTCAAAATATGGTGTAGTGAAAATGCGCAGCATCCCATAATCTTGAATAAAGCGTTTGAACGTTGCGGCTCCAACCCTGAGTGAGACAGTGGTCAGCGTTCTTTGAAGATTGTGCCTGTGTAGATTTTATTCTTGTACACTTACATGGTGTATCATAATGTCTCACTGTCCATTCAGTGCATGTGCTCTTTTTGCATCCATTTGTGCAGTTGTTGTCTTGTCACATTGCTAAACATATTTGTATTTTATTTGCTAAAAATGTGCAGAACACACATTAACAAACACAGAGATATAAACAAAAAAAGTAAGATCTAATTAAAACGTTTTTTTAGATGGTGCAATAATGTCATTGAAGTGAATTCTGTGGTTTATTCTTGCATTGAAAGCCTGATGTAATAACAGCCCTAATTCTTTTTTTTTTTTTTTGCATTAAAATCTTTTGTTTTCTTCTCACTCACTTTAGTTTCCAAGTTTTTGTGATTCATCAACAAGGAAGCGCTCATGCTTCTTTTTGCTGCCTTTATGCTTTCTAAACGGGGCTGTACTGCGTTGCACATATATGATATGATATTTACCTGTGATTACCTTGTGCCTAAATATCTAGAAAGATATCTGATTAGTTTTATGATACAAAGCGCAGCATTGCGTTGGTAGCCAGACGTCATGAGAGTTGCCAGAGGTTAATCATCAGCCATTATTTACTTACAGTAGTGACTCTAATAAAATCAGTTCTCCTATAGAGATCAGTAAATCGTGTCAGCTGAATTTTCATTTGTGTGGTGACTGCTGACAGAGCGATATTGTGTTTGTTTTCTCGTGCTTTAAAATTGTCTTTGTCTCTGTTAGATGAGTTTATTGTTATCAAACTTCTTATTCTGAATATATTATTAATTACTGATAACATACTTTATATTATTATAGTTGCTGCCAGTCGAACAAAGCAATTGATTACTAAAACCTGAAGCTGCAATGACGGAAGCTGAAGTTTTTGCACTGGTAATATTTACTTTGTGCTGCAACGCAAAATGAAGTGCTTGGGCTAAAGTACACCGCGTATTTCCTTCAATAGTTGCAGCACATGTGTCGCTGTGAGGCCATAAAATGTGCACAACGGGCATTTGTCTCGGCGCTCTTTACTGTACTTGTAAAAGCTGCTTAACATATCAGCTGAGAGGCAGCAACAGGCCAAACATTAGTGTTCACAATCAGTTTTCTTGATTCTCAAGTGTTATTAAATTAAGGAAATTATGCTGCAATGAGAGGCACAAAACTGCAGACACACACAGCTCCCATTCATCCCGAACAATGCGCTCACACATGCACTCACAAAGAGGGACTTCTGTTAGAGGCCGGTTCTGTTAGGCAGTCATTCACAAGCACGCTTTAAAGTTGGTGTGAAGTCGCTATAAAAAGCTAACCAATTTTAGAGAAATATCCAGCCAGTGGTTGTCTTCTTTCTGCAATGTTTGTGTTTGTAGAGGAAGCTAGCTGACATTTCTTGTTTTGCGTGCACCGTTTGAGTTCTTGCTGTCGTTATCTAAATGCGGCTGGGATGTCGATGCATTTGTTCATTCACTGGTTGACATCCATTGTTAAAGAAAAGTAAAACAACAACACATATCATATATAAAAATGCTCATGTTC